GAAAAGATAGTACCTATATTTGAATCAATAATTATCCTAATATGCTGCTGCTATAATGGAATTTCTTATATGTTTTGCAAGGATTAAATCATTTGACATTGAGTGCCAAATAATTATGAGGCAAAATGTGATACACTGGTAATATTGCTTTATGTTATTGTACATTAAATTGAAAATTAACAATTACATTGTATACGTATGCAAAGGACATTTTCAAAAAGTATGATGAATTGATGTACTTAAATCAACTTATAATTTGTATAATTCACGTGAGAGTTTTAATTTTTTCATAAAGCACCATTTAATAGAGCATTACACTATAATTCAAAATCATTAATGCAGTTTCCAACAGGAATAAATTTATTAATGGTAGCTTATTTGTACTGAATGTGACTCAATTAAATAGTGAATTATCTGAGCGCTTTTTAAAATTTACCAGATTATCCATATCTATTTTATCTTATATCGCAAACTTCTCTGTTTCTTAGCAATTTCTATAATTATTGCTCACGTTTAAGAATATGTTTTAGTCCAACAATAATGCCTTTACTGAACATCTGGAAAGAGTTTTAAATATAGTTTTTGAAGTATTCATTTCCTTAGGAGAGCCAAACATCATTCTCACATTTACAAAAACACCTGTCCTTCAGATACAAAGGAAGCATTCAGACATAAAACACTGAACTTAATACTTGAGTTTTTCTTAGAAATTTAAAGTATATTAACCATAATCATAGAGAATAAATTTTTTTCAAATCCTATTCTCACCTGTGATCGGTACATTTAAATAGATTTCTGAAAATGAATTAGAACAATATCATGAGTTCATAAATTATATTTCTGATTTGAGTTTACCACGGTAAGGTTTTCACATACTTTTTTAAAATATATGATTTTATTGACACTATTACAGATGTCCCCCATTTACCACCCCCTTCCACCCAGTCCCTCCACCACCACCTCCAGGCCTTCACCACACTATTGTCTGTTTCCAGAAACTATGCGTCTAAATATATGAGTTCTTTGGTTTATTTCTTCTTGTCCCTGCCCCCTCATCACCCCCACCTGAGATATGTCAGTCTGTTCCATGCCTCTATACCTCGGGAGTTATTTTGTTAGTCAATTTATATTCATTAGATTCCACAAATAAGTGAGATCATGTGGTATTTGTCTTTCTCTGAGTGGCTTATTTCACTTAGCATAATAAACTCCAGGTCTGTCCATGCTGTCTCAAAGGGTAAGAGATCCTTTATTTATTTATTTAATTTATTTAATTTATTTTTTTAAGAGATCCTTTTTTTAAAACTGCATAGTACTCCATTGTGTAAATGCACCACAGCTTTTTTATCTATTCATCTACTGATGGGCACTTAGACTGTTTCCAAATCTTAGCTATTGTAAATAACACCGCTAAAAATATAGGGGTGCGTATATTCTTTCTAATTGGTATTCGGGGGTTTTAGGATATATTCCCAGAAGTGGGATCACTGGGTCAAATGGAGGTTCCATTTTAAATTTTTTGAGGAATCTCTATACTGTTTTCCATAGTGGCTACACCAATCTGCATTCCCAGCAACAGTGTACAAGAGAGTTCCCTTTTCTCCACACCCTCGCCAGCACTTGTTTGTTGATTTGTTGATGGAGCCATTCTGACAGGTGTGAGGTGATATCTTATTGTCATTTTAATTTGCACTTCTCTGGTGATTAGTGTTGTAGAGAATTTTTTCATATGTCTCTTGGCCATCAGTATGTCCTCTTTGGAGAAGTGTCTATTGAGGTCCTTTGCCCATTTTTTAAATTGAATTGTTTGTCTTTTGTTGAGTTGTATACGTTCTTTATATACTTTGTAGATTAACCCCTTATCATATGAATCATTGGCAAGTATGTTCTCCTCTACAGTGTGTTCCTTTTTCATTTTGTTGATGATTTCTTTTGCTGTGCAGAAGCTTTCTAGTTTTATGTAGTACCATTTGTTTATTTTTTTTTTTCCTTTGTTTCTCTTGCCCTAGGAGATGTATCAGTGAAAATTCTGCTATGTGAGATGTCTGAGATTTTACTATTTTCTTCTAAGATTTTTATGGTTTCATGACTTTCATTTAAGTCTTTTATCTATTTTGAATTTATTCTTGTGTATAGTGTAAGTTAGTGGTCTAGTTTCATCTTTTTGCCTGTGCCTATCCAGTTTTCCCAACACCGTTTGTTAAAGAGACTGTCTTTACTCCATCGTATGTTCTTGCCTCCTTCATGAAATATTAATTCACCATAATGGTTTGGGCCAATTTCTGGGGGTCTCTGTTCTGTTCCATTGGTTTATATGCCTGTTCTTATGCCAGTACTAGGCTGTTCTGATTACAATGGCTTTGTAGTATAGTTTGATATTTGGTATTGTGATCCCTCCAACTTTGTTCTTCTTTCTCAAGATTGCTGCAGCTATTCAGGGTCTTTTTTTGGTTCCATACACATTTTTTAAGTATTTGCTCTAGATCTGTGAAATACATCATTGGTATTTTAATAGGAATTGCATTGAATCTATAGATTGCTTTGGGTAGAATGGACATTTTAATGCTGTTAATTCTTCCAATCCAGGAACATGATATATGCTTCCACTTGTTTATATCTTCCTCTATTTAATTTTTCAATGTCCTATAGTCTTCTGAGTACAGGTCTTTTACCTCCTTGGTTAAGTTTATTCATTGGTATATTATTTTGTTGTTGTTGCAGTGGTAAATGGGATTATTTTTTAGTTTCTCTTTCTGAGAGTTCATTATTGGTGTATAAAATGCCATTGATTTCTGGATATTGATTTTGCATCCTGCCACTTTGCCAAATTCATTTATTAAATCTAGTAGTTTCTTGGTGGAGTCTTTAGGGTTTTCTATGTACAATATCATGTTATCTGGTAATAATGACATTTTTACTTCCTCCTTTCCAATTTGGATGCCTTTTATATTTTCTTCTTGCCTGATCGCTGTGGCTAGGACTTCCAGTACTATGTTGAATAAGAGTGATGAAAGTGTACACCCCTGTCTTGTTCCTGATCTTAAGGAAAACACTTTTAGATTTTGCCCATTGAGTGTAATGTTGGCTGTGGGTTTGTCATATATGGCCTTTACTATGTTGAGATATGACCCCTCTATTCCTACTCTGCTGAGAGTTTTTATCAAAAATGCGTGCTGGATTTTGTCAAATTCTTTTTCTGTGTCTATTGATGTAATCGTGATTTTATCCTTCGTTTTGTTTTTTACATACTTTATTGAACAGACACCTGTATTTCCTTTCTAGGGGAAAAGGCAAATCCTAGTTCTCAATAACCCCAACATAATTACTCGTTTGTTTTATTCCCTAATATATACCCATAGGTTCAGAATTACAATAACAATACTACCATCAACAATATCCTTAGTAAAAAATTTAATAATTTTTGCAGGTTTTTAAAAAATCTTTAAAATATAACCCATTGAGATGTATGTTAAAGTTACTGTGTTTTAAAGTCATTATAAGTAGTTCCTCTTAGAGTCTATGCCTCCAACTCAATATACAGGTTTCTTTTATTTTTCTTCTAATTTTTCAAAATTGCTTTTTTAAATGTTAATTTGACTTCTAATGTTTTAAAATATTTATAAGATTCCAAAATAAATCTTCAAGGGAAGGTATATTTTGAGATGTTTAGCTTTTAACCCTGTAGTGTCCATCCTATTTCCTCTCATCTCCTAGGGGTAACCATTGTTATTATTTTTTATTCATAGGTTTCTCCTTATATTGTATCTTATACATTTTTCTCTGCCTTAGTTTTTTCACTTAAAATATATATCCCGAAATAACTCCACTGTAGTACTTATAGACAGTCACAATTCCTTTTTACAACAACATAAATTCTCTGGTGAATATAGCATAGTTTTCAGCCAGTCCTGTATTGATGGACATTTAAACTGTTTCCAGTTGTCACAAACAATTCTCAGTGAGTAGTCTCGTAAAGATCTCACTTTATATTTGTGATGTATCTGTGGAATAAATTCCAAAAAGCCAAAATATAAATGAACATACAATTGGCCTTAAGTTGTTGAATTTTCTTTTATAAGAGCTTTATTATTTTGCATTCCCACCAACGATGCATTTAGGTTTTTTTTCACCACGGCCTTTCATCAGAGGCTGGTGTCAGATTTTTGGCTTTTTGCCATTTTGATAGATGAGGAGTAGTATCTCAGTGTATTTAATTTGTATTACTCTTTTTATGAGTTTTAACATCTATGTAAAAAAACTACTATTTTAAAAATTTTAAAAACTTAAAATGAGAAACATTTTTTATAGAAACAAATTTATGATGTGTATATTTTAGGTAAATTTTGAATGTTTAACACAAGATTGCTTTTGGCTGAAATTAGATTGTTAAAACAATGTTACATAGAGGGGAAAAATCATGATTCTGAAAATAAACTTCAGAAGTCAAATATTTCAATTTTATTCAAATGCAACAGAAACCATGCAAAAGAAATAATTCTTACAATGATAAGCAATAATTTACTGTAGTTAAGAACTTTGTGATACAAACTTTTAGAAAGTACTAAGACTTCATAAAGCTCTAAGTGTTGAAGAGAAAGAAAAGCGTATAAATGATCTTGTAATTGCAGAGGATTTCTCTATAGAAAATTTAGATTTGATAAAATATAGCAGCCAAGTGTAACATACTTCATGTCAAAACCAAAGCCAGTTTAAAGAAAAATGTCCTCCTATAACAAAATCAAAGATGATGACTTCTGCCTCTTATTCTTGGACTATATAAAATTTTCCAATATTCCCTAGTAGTATTTCTAAATACATTTTAATTATTTATTTAGGCTGGATAAAATAGATCCTAAGGCTACCTTGTTAATCTGACACCTGTACTTGATGTCCTTCTCTGCAAGAATTATGTATTTTTGGAAGACAAATATTAAAGAAAGGATTATGGAATATAATTCCTGCCAATTAATTCTTAGTTATTTTCTTTCATTTCAGCACCTTCCCTGATAGGTATGGTAAGGAAGGACTGGGCATCCCAAAATAGCATTGCCCTATCATGGCAAGCACCTGCTTTTCCCAATGGAGCCATACTGGACTACGAGATCAAGTACTATGAGAAAGTAGGTCTTATCTGGAGCTTCCTAAAAAGTTTCATATACATATATATGCATATATGTATATACTGAGCATGTTATTATACTATATTATCTTACTTTAAAATCTGTTCTTCTTTGGTACATACCTCCTATGTCTTTGAATACTCTCTAATTTACTATTGTGGGTATAAATTCTTAATTAATTTGTCTTGTTTTATGTCATTAAAGTAGAAGATACAAGATATTTATCTCCGCCATGACTTACTCTAGGGAATTATACAATAGACTAAGAAGCAGTAACTCCTGCAACTTAACAGTTTTATTGACATATTTTTTCTAAATACACTTGGGAAGAAATGGTAAAATGGAATTACTATAAACTAAAAAGAGTTTATGTAGGTCATATTCTTTGCCAATGAATTTAAACTTCCGGAGTCCACTATAATTTGGAAAGGATGATTTAAGGGATAAATGGTAATACCTGATTATTTAAAAATTTTTCTTTACATTTGGTCAGCTGTTTTATTTTATAAGAAACTAGTTCAAGATAAATCTGGTCAATCAACTGGTAAACTTAATTTCCATTTTTGTCATTTAAAATTTTTCTCAATTACTATATTTTCATGAATTATATATTTACTTTATTGTTTTCACACTCTTTCTTTAGCTCCCCCCTCCACCATTCCTCACCATTATGATAGTGTTCCTATAGCAGACCACATGGTCACTTTTGATAGTTTCATTGTGCTAATACTACTCTGGAATATTGATAAAGGGAACATTAAATTAAAAAATTAAATGTACTAATTGCATGTAATATGCAGTGCTATTCTACAATAAGCAAGAACTTCTTACATTTCTGTAACTTACTAGAAGCAAAGAAACATCATAAATGAATTTAGGTCTCCTCTGAAGAAACACAGGGCAAGAAGAGAAACAAACGTGGTTTTCTATTCTATTGCTTCTGAACAAATGTAAGTTTGAAAAAGGGAGAGGTAACTCAGTAGCATGGCTGTATCCGTTTTGACACTCTAGTGATTTCAGCATTATGTAGTCAATGAAAACTGTCACTATCATTAATTCACATGGATAAATTCATAGTCTAAGACAGGAGGAATTTACTGAGTTTAAACTGGATTATAGATTCTGCACATTAGCCAGGCCAGCATGTGTTTAGAAATCTTGTTAGGCTATCCTTTAAAATGTTGCAACCTATAGGATGCTGTCACAAGAACACACAGTATTCTGTTCCCTAATTTAATAGATCTTCATGTAATTCATAAATTATGACCATTTAAAGAGCAATGCACACACACATATAAGCAACTTTCAGAATGAAAATATTTCTTTGTGTTTTATAAAGGTTGTATCTCATACACAGCAAATCACTCTTATTTTATAATCCTTTCTACATCATGTTTGGAGATGATGATAACTTACAATATTTCCAGATTCCATAGAAAAGGAACCACAGTCATCCAATCAGAATTTTAGAAATCAGCAAGATCTGAAAGATGGCAATTGAAATAATAGTCATATTTTCATTATGGAATAAATAATATTCTGAAGGAGTTTATTTTGTAAAAACATGGCAATGATCTAATGCTAAAAAATTAAACATGGAGTTGGAAGTCAAAAATTTCTAATTTATTCCTGACTCTGACTCTTGTTATGTTTATGGACAGGAAAAAGTCAATTAATCTCCTTATGTCTCAGACTTTATATTTACAAAATGGAAATGAAGATATCAACCCTTCTAGTAGATTGTAAAAGTTAATTATAAACAGACCTGAAGATGAAAAGCACCCTAAATCAGTATTAAATACTATTTAAGTGAGCATTAGGGAAATATTAGTGTATAATATAATATAAAATCAGAACACAGTAGTATGGGAATGGTGTACAAACTAAATAAAAATATTATATTTTTATACATAAATACATAATGTATAGGCAACCAATCAAAGATGTTGGAATATAAACCTTTCAGAGAGAACATAAAATAATGGACAGCATTACAACTTTTCCCAGCTATGACTTCAAAGTCTAACTATACATTTTACGTATCTGCATTTATAACATGGTTTCTCCTTCCAAGAAAATATTTTATAAAGATTATAACTAGGGCAAATTATAATAGCACTCTTAAAGATAATTACCTTTATTAGGGACCTAAATATTGTTCAGTAAGAAAATCAAGGCACAAGTATACGGGGGGGCCAAAAGTACATTTACAGTTGTTTGTATGGAAAATAATACAATAATTAATAAATTATAATATAAGAATAAACTCTGTGTTTCACACACTCACAACTGTAAACCTGCTTTTGCCCCACCCTGTATATGCAAATGATCCCATTTTTGGAACACAAATATGCCTCTATACATGTATATTTGCATGTGATTATATGAGCATAGAGAATTATAGAATGGAATAGGGTGTACGCCACATGCTCTTTCAGGTATTGCTTATTGGGGTAGAATGGGGTGCAGAATGAAGGTGAGGCAAGGAAGAGAAAGGGAGGTAGCAGTATAGATAAATGGGAATGAATGAATCTAAATAGCTTCGGTAGTTGTCTTAGATGGTGTAACCCAAAAACAGTGCCTGAAACAGGAATTTGCATACAAAGGATTAAGAAGACTCCCAGGAGAACTGGTGAGAGAATGGAGGAAGGAGGGACTATGAAGAAAGATGCCAGCCAAAGTCAGAGTGACTAAGGGGAGCTCTGTCTAAACTACACCTCAGAGCTCCTACTATAGAAACAAGGAAGCTGAGCTTCCATACTCTGATTCCAGTATATCATTGGTGACAGGCCTTAATGGAGATGTACATTTGGTATGTAGAAGAAAATCATAGGCACTTCTGGTCCTCTGTAATAACTCATGTAGTCCAAATTTAGGTATCTAAAGGAGGTGACAGTTACAAGCCTTTAAAAGCAAAACTCATAGAATCTGGGGGATGGGAGCCAGAATAAGTAGAGATGACCTAAGGGAGTCTGGTGGTCCACCAGCTATCAGCTAAGATACCTCAGTGTTCAGAGAGCTATGAGAGAACCTTAATTCTCAGCTGGTTATAATATTAATATTCTACTAAGTTTTTATTTTTTTACTTTATCTTTGTTGTTGAAAGTATTACACATGTCCCCTTTTCCTCCCCTTTGATGCCCTCCACCTCGCATCCACCCCACCCCTTGGCCTTCACCACACTATTGTCTGTGTCCATGGGTTATGCATTTATGCATATAAATTCTTTGATTACTCTCTCCCCACCCACTCCCCCAACCCCCACCTTCCCTCTGAGATCCCTCAGTCTGATCCATTCTTCTGTGTCTCTGGATCCGTTTTGTTCATCACTTTGTTTTGTTCATTATATTCCACATATGAGTGAGATCATGTTTTCAATATTGGTGCCTCAGTCTTTATGTTATTTGAACCTCCCATTTCCTTTTATTCAAAGTTACGCTGTATTGCTAATAAGTAATCTATGAACAATCAATATTTACACCATTCTCTGAGGAATTTATGCTGTTCCATCCAGTTCCCATTGTGTTAAGAACATTCAGTAAATTGGGAAATAAGTTCACTTGTTTAGAATATAAAGTGTCTATAAATATCTGAGGTCAAAAAAACATACTATTATTACCAGTGACTTTTGCTCAGAGAATATGTAATATTAGAAGAAGACACTGACCTGGGAGTTCAAAAATTTGAGTTTGACTCTAACCTTAACTTTCTTAGTCCTGATTTATCTTCGATAAAATAAGGGTCCAGTGCCCGGCCAGCGTGGCTCAGCAGTTGAGCATTAACCTGTGACCCAGGAGATGGAGGTTTGATTCCTAGTCAGGGCACGTGCCTAGGTTTCGGGCTCAATCCCCAGTGGGGGGCATGCAGGAGGCAGCTGATCAATGACTCTCATCATTGATATTTCTGTCTCTCTCCCTCTCCCTTCCTTTCTCTGAAATCAATAAAGACATATTAAAAATAATAATAAGGGTCCAGAAAGATAAACTCTTACATTTCTAGGTATTTCCAAATGCTAATATGTTTGTGTCTATACAGTCATACATATGTTATCCCATCTCTCAAATAACTATATATATATATGTATATATATACACACACATATATATGTATATATTAATCCTCACCAGAGGATATTTTTTCATTGCTTTTCAGGGAAAGTGGAAGGGGGAGAGAGAGAGAGAGAAACGTCAATGTGAGAGAGACATGTTGATTGGTTGCCTCCCACATGTGCCTCAACTGAGACTGGGCATCGAGACCGCAACCGAGGTATACGTGCCCTTGGCCAGAACCGAACCAGGGACTCTTCTGTCCATGGGCCAGTACTCTAACTGCTGAGCGAAACTGGCTAGGGCTCAAATAACTATATTTTTTCACTTTTGTCTACTGAAATTAAATACATAAACACATATTTAAAAAAATACTTTACCATAGGGAACAGTGCTCTTCACATCATAATTATGTATAAAAGTTAAGACCCTGCTGGCATTGTCGAGGGTGTGTGTGTGTAAGGTGGGTATAGAGAAAAAACATACTGCTTTTGGTCATAACTAATTAGATATTCTCCATTCAATTCATTATACTTCCCCAATTTTTAGATACTTTTTTCATACTCAAAAATTGTTTCATATTTTTAAAACTCAAATTAATATAGTCTGAATATGAAAAGGTACTAAAATAACAAAGAAAGCCAAGTAAAAGTTACCAAAACAATTTCTATTTCATATTTACACGCTAACTGCGTAAACAGATCCTACCTGTAATGAGGATACTGTTTAAAAACTGAATACAATTTAGGTGATACAAACAAACTTCGTTTAATTCTTCATGAAGCAGCCAGCCTCCTTGTGGAGAACTGCAAAATGGGGCAGAGGGCAGGAAGCTCTCATAGGATCAACAACAAAGAACAAGGGAGAGGAAAAGAGGAAACACCTGGCGGGCGGGCCACCTAGTCAGCCCTGTTTGGGGTGGGAAGCGGCAGGAGAGCACAGAGCCCACGGGCG